ACCCTGACCAACTGTGACAACTTAATGGTCGTTTGCAATGAGTTGTTAACACTTTTCTCTTGACTTTTCTCATCAATTTCCAGCAAACTGATGTCGTTAGGTCTCTTGATGTTTAGGGAACAAAATAGCGCTGTCTATACTGAGAGAGAATGAGTGTGTGAATATATGTGTGTATCTGTGTTTGTGAGTGTGTGTGTGTGTGTGTTTGAGAGTGTGAGTGAGTGAGAAAGCCTAACTGGACAAAACGAAATGCCAGTAAAAAGTAGCTCTGTAGAGTGAAAAAGAGAGAGAAAATGAGTGAGACAATGAAATCTAACCTTTTATCTTAAAATACCCTTTCCTTTTAATCTAACATATTCTGACGGAGTACACAAAGGATTTACCAGCAAAGAGGATCTTAATACGGACAGCCTACAGCAGCCAAGCGCTGACCTGTTTCCCAACAAACTACTGACTGAGGCGTGTAAAAGTTTCCAAACTGCTAAACTAGCGATCCTCCTAAACTCAGTCAAAGCTAGCCAGCCGTAAAAACAACTCCCCAAATTGATTTAAAACATGAACAAATATTGGCAACGGGACGAACAATAAAACCAACATGTGATCACGGCAACTGCACAGGACTCTCAAACACAAGAGAGGATAACTTGTCTGATGACGTCAGCCATTCCCTAGAGGTATTAAGCTCACAATGAAGTGTTAAATTCCTCATAAATATGCTGATCTTGTGGGTTAAATGTAGTTAATACTGTGCACTGTTCTTGTTTGTTCAGCGACATTCTCTTAGCCAGGATTTGTTGAGTGCTGGCCACAGTAAGCTCCAGGAGGTGGTGGTGCTGTAGGGAAAATTATGGGGTTTTGCTTGTACCAAGAAGTAACGGAGTTCCTCCTCTTCATGACCAAAGAGATAAAGGGCATATTTGACTCACAGTGTTAAGGCGTGAACTTAACGGCTGGAATCGCCCTTAAAAAAATGGGGGGGGGGGGAAAAATTTTAATCAGTAATGTTTACCATTTATTCAAAATACACCAAATTTGTCTCAAACAGCAAAATGAACGCCAGCTGCACTGGTAGCCAGCCACTCTTTAAAAACTGTAATTAATTCAAGTCGTCCCCATGTTGGGATACAATTTTTCGTTATTTGAAGCGTCACCATGGCTTTTGCCGGGGACCCTAAATAAAGCTGGGCCACAAATGTGGGCATAGTGGCACTTCGTGTCACCGCGTGTTTGTTTCTTGTGTGATGTCTCCTGGTGGGGTACAACAAGCAAGCAAAACTGTAACTTGTAAAAACTTACCAGTTACGGCAGTACTACAATGCTGGCTGCGCACACATATTCTGAACAGCTAATCTATGATGAGCAACATTTTACATAGTTTTACCCTGTCTGTCCAGTGTAATCGTTACCTTCTAACGCTTACACATAAGAATAGACCACGTCTCCACACAGTGTAAAAATACCATATCTTTGTACAGATACTTATGTTGTATTGGTAATGTCTCATAGGCTGACTTTATTCCCCATAGAAAAAAAAGAGTTTACCATAAGAATCACATATAATTGTATAAGTGTATTATTAATTTTGTTGTTGTTAAATTAGATTTTAGATAAATCAGTTTAAAGGATAATGCCATGACCTATTATTATTCATGCTCTAGATTTCACACAGTGTTTACATTAAATAATCTGCAGTAGTTTACTTCCTCGAATATCTGACACAGAACAAACAAGCAACAGATATTTCAAAGCAACAGCATTCAGTGAAGTTAGCTGAAAAGCGTCAACATACTGTCTCGCAAATAGTTGAAAACTTGACCACGACTAGCCTCTAGAAGACACAGCCAGAGACCGATCTTAGGCTCCATACGACATGTAGACTACCAATCTGACAGAGCGACACATGGGCCTAGTTAATGGACACGTGATCTTCAGCTGATGACTATATCTAAATCCATTTACTTCTTTAGATTTGTGATGGAGAATGAGGAAGACACAGATGAGGTAGAGGAAAAAGAAGCAACAACAGCAGCAGCAACAGCAGGAGAAGAAGAAGAAGACAGAGAAGAAAGAAGAAGAAGAAGACAGAAGAGAGAACAAAGAAAGAAGAAAGAAAGAGAAGAAGAAGAAGAGAAGAAGAAGAAGAAGAAGAAGAGAAAGAAGAAGAAGAAGAAGAAGAGAGAGAAAAAAGAAGTAGTAGAAGAAGAAGAAGAAGAAGAAGAAGAAGAAGAAGAAGAAGAAGAAGAAGAAGAAGAAGAAGAAGAAGAAGAAGAAGAAAAGAAAAAGAAAAAGATGAGGTCAGAAGAAGGAAGAGAGGAGGAGGAAAAGAGGAGGAGGAAGAATAGGAAAAAAAGAAAAGGAAGGGAAAGAACAAAGAGAAAGAAACTGAAGAAAGGGAAAAAAAAGGGGAAGAAATATAAATTTAAAAAAAAATTGGAAGAATTATATTAAAAAAAGAAAAAAGGAAAAAAAAAGAAGAAATTAGAAAAGAGGAAGAAGATTAAAAAAAAAAAAAGGAGAAAAAGAAGAAGAACAACAAGAAGAACAAGAACAAGAAGAATAAGAAGAACAAGACATAGGGTGGAGATGATTTCTGCAACATTGGCGTAGCCCTAGATGAAACATTGTCGAAGAGAGGCTGAATGAGGGGCGCACTGAACCACTCTCAATTTTTTTTTCTACTTAGGTTTGTGTGGGAGGTCAAGCTTCGTGTGACTGCGCCATAATAATAATACAAACAACATATTATTATTAGTATTATTTTATTTGTTTTGTAACCATTCAGCAAAAATAAATATTTTTTTTACACTCATAATAATAACTACTATTGCGCAATTAAGCAAGGTTGATGAGACCCTCTTTTTAATTATGATATATTTTTTTTAAAATGTTCCTCATAATAGTAATAATTTTTTTGTAATAATATTAATAATAATAATAACTATAATAATAATAATTAAGCGTTGAATGACAAACAAATACTATATCATACTTTGATATAAATGCGCCGGAATATGGGAGTTAAGCGCCTTAAGCCACGGAATTATTCTGATAACTATTGCGCATTTGCGCAAATTTGACTTTTGAGAGCATGCATCTTTTCTGTGGCTACATACGGATGTGAGTCGTGGACTATCTCTCAGTCCTTAGGAAAGAGAATAGGGGCTTTTGAGCTGAAATGCTATAGAAAGATTCTCAGAATATCTTGGACAAAGAAGAGGAGAAATATTGACAAAAATCTTAACATCAAGTAAGATTGGCTAATAAACAGCATCCTTTTTCGGAAGCTGAAATAGTTTGGTCATATCAAGCGCCAAGACGGACTGGAAATAAATTATAGCAGAAAGCATGGTACCAGGAAGGAGGGGCAGAGGCCGACCGACACGAAGATGGGCACAGGATATAAGTGACTTCTTGAGTATGAAAGTACAGAGGCGGGAGAACTGGCGAGAGACCGAGTTTCCTTCAGGCAGGCTGTGATGAGAGCGACGTTCTGCAAAGGACCTGCTACATGATGATGATGATGACTGCGCATTTAAATCAATCTTAAACACTTTAAGGCCTATCAACTTTTTATTTCCCCTCTGCCCTCCCCCCCCTCCCCCCCCCCCCCCCCCCTTTCACAAAAAAAGTTTTAGAGGCATAACATATGCATTCGGAAGCAGGTTAATGAAAAAAAGTTGAGATCATCTATCTTTCCTCTGGCAACTTATGGATGCGAGTCAATCACTGAAGAAAACTAGAGAAAAAGTCACAGGACAGTTTTGAGAATCCGTGCATCAAAAAGAAGAAAACATTGAAATGCTAGATGATCTAAACATCGAAAAGAACTGGCTCATAAACAGCATCCCATTCTAAAAACTCTGTTATTTTGGCATGTTAAACGCCATGGAGGATCTGGAGAAAACGGTGATGGAAGATATAGTTTCTAGAAAACTTAGCAGAAGCCAGCCCCTACGAAAGTTGAAACAAGGCGCTGTGGATTTGTTGGCTATAAAAGCACATAGGGCTAAAGAACTGACTAAAAGAAGAAAGGCCTTTAGGCGTGCCGTGACGGTAGCGACGTTCAGTAAAGGTTTGACTGAATTTCTGATTAACATAAAGGGACTGTCTAACTATACTCTTAACATGTTTTCTCAGTACGTTCTCTAACTAGATTCCAGCGTCTTTTTCTTATAATGAATAAATGTATAAAGAACTTACGTCACTTTTCTCAGAACATTCCCAAACGTGTCCGTCCCGTTCCTCAGTAACCAACAAAGAGTTGTAATGTCAAGAGTACAAGATGCAATCTTACTAAAAAACCGCCTCTGTTACTCCTTCAATTTTAAATATTTTTTTAAACCTCTACCCCCACCCCCGCCCCTTCTGTTTAAATTATCTGTGTTTCGCTGGAATGTGTGATTATTCTTAGCGTGAGTTCCACACTGATGATTCTGTTATTCACTCAGAGCTGACCGTTGTAAAGCCCGACCAAAGAAGATAAGCGAATGAAAGAATACAATATTTACAGATACTATGTAGTTAATATTTGTAGTAACTTTTTTGTTTTATTCATCATTATCCAAGGATCAGATCCATAATGCAGTAGGTATGCAAACATGTTTCTCACTTTAAACTCCGTGTTGATTTTAATTAATCAGATCTAAACAGATTTTACAGACACGTGACTCGAAATTCAATAAAGCTTTTTTTTAAGCAATTCTAAATTTATTCGAAAGGTATGCAAACATATAGTACAGCATAAGATAAAGGCAAACTAAGCTTAGGTTGGCTAAAAAAAAAGACATCTGCGCGAATTTGTATCTCACTAATATCACAGCGTAGATAAACCCACTGCTGTCTTTAAACGGGTTACACAATGATGCCTCTAAATTCTTCTCCGCACCTCTGTCAATTTACTGGTGCGGATTCTCACAAATAAACTGTCCGCAGCGAGAATCGAACCTGATGCTCGAGGATGATGACATTGTTCAACTCATCAACTAATCTCTAAGCCACAATCACATGGTAGAAGACTTTTCTAATGTTTTGTCTTTGGACTCCTTTGTACTTTTGGAAATATTTGTAATTGGACTACAGTTTTCTTGCTGCAGAATTTGAAAGAAAAGCTTGGTCACACGTTTTGTGCAGACGAATGAAAGAAACAGGAATACACCCTGAAGCCCGTTGAGAATAATGGCGATGAATCTTAGAGGATCATTGTCAGTGTATTCGGAGACGATAGCCATGGTCCAAAAGGCTCCAGTCAGAGACGATAACTTGATGTAAATGATGAAATTTTGACTCTCCTTCTGGTTAAAATCTTGGTGAGCTTGCAATTTCTTTACTTTTTGTATTTGCTGAACAGTAGAAGCAAAGAAGTATATGTTGGCAAGTGTCACCGCCCCAAGAGGCGTTACTAGGGATACTATGGCTAACAAACTGGAGTCCAGGTAACAAGGATAGGTGTCTGTGTACCCGATTCTCTGTCCTGCAGATGTGAAGTACGTACTAATGACAACTAGCACCACTATCAGAGCTGGCACAATGACGCCAATGATGGCTTTCTTTATGCGCTTGTTTCTCTGAGAAGTACTCGTGCATTTGGAGATTCCTGTCTTGGTGGTAAAAACCCGAAACATGTGGAAGCAACAGATGAAGCTCCACGTGATCATACTGAGCCACAAGAAATGCGTGCTGATTCCTACGATAATGCAAAGTGAATTCGGACCTTCTACATGGGAACTTGCCAACAGGGAAGCTTGAGCAAGAAACAGAGTTCCGGACAGAAACATGTTATTAATTCCTGCTTCATTGCGTAAGGATACACAAAGCAAATACACAACCAGTGTAATAAGCAGAGTTAACAGAGACAGTCCTATACAGATATGAGTCAGATAGTAGAGCCATAGCTCGATCTCGCTTTTATAAGAATTATATGAGTTGTCCTTCAGTTTTAGGATTGTCTCTTCCAGCAGATCCTGGCACACAAAGATGCGGCCTTCACTGTTTCGATTATCGTCTTCTACAGCCAGTCTGTTTGTGTCCGACAAGTCAGAAAAAGTTAGTACTATTTCACCCAACTTTAATTTGATTTGCCAGGTTGGAGGAAAATCACTACAGTTAACAGAAATGTTATAATAGGATTTGTTAAATGAAACATGCACGCAGGTGAGAACTAGTGAAGAAAATATAAACTCCTCTTTGTAATTCCACATCGTGTTATTTAACATTGTTTTGATAGACATTAATGCATTTGCCGTCGTCTGCATGTCTGATTTTTCTTCAGAAAAAAGACACGAATTTCCTGATAAATCGCGCAGCTGCGGTAAAATCTTTGGTGCCATCATGACTGTCAGGTTTTCTGTAATCTGTATTTCAGACGTGTTCGCAAGAAAAGTCCTAAGATATGCTGCCTCAAAAAGATCTCTAGTAAGGGACTTATTTGCAATAATATACGTGTCGACGTAAAAGAAAAATCGCGAATGATCAGTGGACAATTGTTGTGTTACATTACGGATTTTATTGTTAAAGATCCTATCAGAGGTTATAGGTGAACGTCCAGTGTTTGTGTCTAGCGAGATCATTTCTTCCCAAATAAAATATGCCGTAATTTCTGTCTCTGAGATATCTGGGCTGAAGATGTGTTGTTCTTGCAAATATGTCATGAACGAATTTAACATTTCAGTGGAGTTTATTTGACTCAAGTTAATATATTTAATGTCTTTTGGCAGATACACAACTCTTGCTCTATACCCAAGACCATTGATATCTTGTATAGCTGTTGTACAGTTTCCACCCTCAAAAAATTTTCCACGCGTGCATTGCAAGGGGAGACATGTGCCGTCTGGACTAGACCACTCAGTGACATGACAGTCTTTAAACTTTTTTCCAGACTCTAACGGTGGTTTATGTTTGCCATGAAGAGAGCCAAGCAGTAATGAAAATGGAAGAACCATTTTCCTTTCCGGAGGACCAGGGTATACAGTGACCAAATCAGAAGTCGATGCCCTATAGCAACAACCTCGAAATTCATGCTGAAGGTTGCAAAGATAATCGTCAAGGAAATTAGAATCGGAATTACAAATAGCACAGAAAATATTTTTGTAATAGCGGAAGGTAGTGTTTTCTTGGTAAACACGTACTCTCTGGGAGATGTCCGACATGTTCTCGCATTGAGCAGCGATGTCGGGGTTAGCTGCTGACCACTGCCCTGTCTCATTGCAGGATTCCAGGACCTCGCCGTGCCACTGGCTGTCGCACTTGTGGGGAACTAGCTCTGCTGGAAATTGCTGACGGATGGAGCATAAGGAGTCCTGGCGAAAGCTAAGTTGGATGAGCTCGTCTTTAGTTGTGGCGCTGTACACACGAAGGTAGTTCTCACATTTGACCGACATCGTCCAAGCTGTGGGCTAACAATGTTCACAATTAATGAATGTATAGTAACTCTTTCTGATGTAAACAATGTTTTACTGAGGCTAACAATGTTCATAATTATTGAATGTATAGTAACTCTTTCTGATGTAAACAATGTTTTACTGAGGCTAACAATGTTCATAATTAATGAATGTATAGTAACTCTTTCTGATGTAAACAATGTTTTGCTGAAGCTAACAATGTTCATAATTAATGAATGTATAGTAACTCTTTCTGATGAAAACAAGGTTTTACAGAGGCTAACATTGTTCAACATTAATGTATATTAATACTTCTTAAGTAACCAATGTTTTACAGGGTCTAACAGTCTTGAAAATTAATGTATATCAAATCCTTTTTAGGTAACCAAAGTTTCAAAATAGCTAACAATGTTCAACACTAATGTATAGTAACTTTTACCTAAGTAAACAGCGTTTTTACACCCACTACAGGTAGACGATAGCTGAGCAAGTAAATCGTCAGATTCAATCAGTATTCATTGTGAAGAAAAAGACTGCAGACAAAATAAATATGAAATATGGACACCCCCCTCACCCCCCCCCCCCCCACCCCCAAAAAAAAAATTTTTTGTAAATAAAAAGGGAATATATGAGTAGCAGATTGTAGAATCTATTGTCAACGATATTTTGCAGTATCTAATTTCTTTTTTTTTTTAAACAACTTTCGTCTGTTTTGGTCACACGAAGATTTGAACTATCACACCAAGGTCCGAGTTCTGTGGATAGACATGAAAGCTCATCTGGCAGGAAACATGGTGATGTAGAGTTGGTGATTTCAGTGATTGAGGTCAAACCATTTCCCTTATTTCTGAAGGTTATGAATTCTCATACTGCACCTTTCTGTTGAAGAGCTTATTTTTTTTACCGGGATCCAAAGGGATTGGAAATGTAGCTAGAAAGTGGGTCCCTGCGTAACTGGCATTCGACCAGTCGCTTTGCGAAGAGAGATATAGCCACAGAAGGTGTTCTTCTTCTTCGCGTTCACCGAGTAAAGTTCTGGTTGTTCATCCACATCTCGACTTTAGTCTTGTTTCAGAACCTACGTGTTGCGTACACATCCGTTTACAAATCAGACTTATCTGTGTGCAAAATGTTGGTTTCTTGCCAGGCAGATGCACTCCGACTTCGAAGGAAGCTCCCAGTTGGTCGACTATTACAGCATGCTTAGGCAGTAGGTCTAATTTTGTTATCCTCACAATGGGGTCCCGAAACCCACACGGTGAGCCACATGAGATAAAATCCATCCGGTGAAACAATTTAGACCCTCTTGCACTGGCCCAACTTTAACTTTTTCTGTACAAGTTAACTCACCACGCGTTTGTTTGTAATTCCTTACATCATGTGCATTTCTAAACAGTACGTTCTCTCTGTGACTGTTAGATTAACCCCTTCTGTGCTAACGGTTACTTTAACTCGTTAAGTCCTTGAGTGTGGTTATTTTAACCCCTCTATATCATCAAAAACTTGCATTTTTAAGTAAGTAAGTAAAGGACTTTTTCCACGCCTTAAGGCATTTAGGGCCAGACCTATATTTTATTGAACATTCAGCACTTAGTGGGTGATGTGGTTAGCATAACAACGGCGGTCTTTACTTCCAAGGACTTTACCTTGCACCTACTCAAGACTGGGTCGACCTGGGAGCCACGGTCAATTTTGAAAAACAAAAACCGGCTCCGTCAGGATCCGAACCCACGAGCTTCCGATCTTCAGGCAAGCGTACTTGTATTTTGTAGGTAACACATTAGATAGGAATAATTTTAAAGGATATCTGTCTGTGATGAAAGCCTGACAATGACGATGATGAATTTATTGTGTGATGTGTGTGTGTGTGTGTGTTTGTGTGGTGTGTGTGTGTGGTGTGTGTGTGTGTGGTGTGTGTGTGTGTGTGGTGTGTGGTGTTTGATGTGTGGTGTGTGTGGTGTGTTTGGTGTATGTTTATGTGTGTGTGTTGTGGTGTGTGTGTGGTGTGTATGTGTGTGTCGTTGTTGTTATTGAGGAGACATTGATATGATGGGAAGTAAAAGCATGCGTCATAATGTTGAACAGATCATATACTAGTTTTTTTTTTTTTAAGTGTGAGTTTGGTATTAATGCTTTAGTAGAGTAAAAATTGCTCCTTCACTTTACCGCTACTCTACTTGTTAATGCCGCAGGCTGTTTCATATCCTTGTAATTACACTTTCAGTCAAATATTTATGATCCTACTGGAACTATTACAGTCTGCTCCACATACGACCCAGTTCTGTTACTACTAACAGGTCGTAAGTCAAACAGGGCGTTAGTCGAATTTTTACTTTTCAACACTATGTTCATTAAAACAAATAGTACATATTGTACATAAAACACAAAAATGCAATCTGTGTAATATTATTAAAAATACCTATTATGTAATACGTCATATGTACGGTAAGCACACACACAAAAAAAAACTGACATAACTATTTTGTATTTATTTATTTTATGTGGTTTAAGTGCCGAAGATAGAGATGAAGGTGTGTATTAAAGAGACAGTAAAAACGGAAGTACACATACCTGTGATACCTGCATGCATTCCGCACAATATTGGTTGTAATAGACAATCCCTGTTTGATTGTCACTGACCCGAGTAAATGCTTCAACTGACTGCTCATGTTCTGCAAGGTCCTCCTCACACAGTCTCCTTATGTGCTGATCAGTGAAGCTCAAGGGGCATGACCGAAGGTACAGGAAACTGAAACCTTGAAGAGAACGATCGTCGCACCCCATTCTAGTATGTTTGGGCGGCTTCTGAACCTGTCGCTTACCTGGAGCTTCTTGGAAACTTTGTGTATGGGGACTTTGGGGATGTTTTCTAGGCTGGGTCTTGTTTCTATGCTGAGTCTCGTTTCTAGGCAACGTCTTATGCACATGATTATGATATGGCGGCGCTGACCATATTTGCCATGCAGATATGTCTGCTATTCTTTCTTCCAGGGAACTCATGACTGGGCAGCAGGTTCCATAAATTTCACATTGAGGCTTGATACAGTCACAAGGATAACATGTAACTTGTGCACGAAAGCATCGTTCAAGAGGCTGTACGAACAGTAACAGGTTGGCATAACAACGAGCTGAACAATAATACGCTCCGAAATTTGCCGTTGTGAAAGACGTAAAGTTACCTTGATTCCCAGTGTCATGAACCATACTGTTGGTTTGAACAGTTGCGTATGAAACAAGGTTCGTGAAAGAATTGAAGGTACTGAGCTGTGACACGTTCTTATAATTATCTCCCACGTTCAATATACCAGTGAAGGTACACAGTGTCCCGTGGCGCACAGGCTCCATAACAAGAAGAACACAGATAACAGAAATGTACATCTCAGAAGACATGATCTTCACTAATACGTCTGTCTTTGGACACTTATACATAAACAAGACATACTTTTAACAGTACGTCAACAATGTTGTATTCTTCCTCTGAGCTCTAGTTTTCTGATTTAATATCAGTTCCGTGTACAAAATTACGAAATTTCTGCCGCCAGCGTAGTCAATCATATCGAACACTTTATTCAGAAAAAAGCCCGAAATCCGCCAAATCAATAAAAGTATTCAAAACAACCCCAGCTTTGACGTCCCCCCTGGGCACTGTGTTGACTATCCACTGATGCATCTCTGTTACGCTTAACTTCGTTGCCATATTTCCATCCGAAATGAGAGATGATAAAAATGGAATTAAAATAACACTGACTGCGCCCTGGAACCCAGGGACAGCGATTGCAGGGTAACTGATGTCCCAGGTATTTGTTAACTAGTGTGTCATTGATTGTATTGACATAAACCGGGCTAAAGTTTCATGAATTTAATGAGAGGGTTTAGAATAAACATCCATTGCTTCTGAAAGAAAAAATATTAAAATGAGGTGATAATGCCACCAACTAATTTTCACGTTCCTTAAAAAGTCGAACTAAAATATTTCTGGGATATGATTTATCTTTCAGAACGTTGATGGTAGCAACACAAAAGACTACAGTCACAATGTCGACGTTCTAAATGCGCTTCTTAACGCCTTAGTGCCAGTCTCGATCCCAGGTGCACTCGATTTGGCAGCAGACTGCCTTGCGTTGGTTTCAAAAGTGGCATCGGGAGCCAACCGTTCAGTAGCAATGAAAACTATCGAACATAACAAATTAAGAAAATGCCTAGCAAAATCAAAAACTGTAAAAATGGCAGGGGCTCGTTTTGTGACATCCTAAAAGTATACTATAGATTCTACCATTAGGTCGGTGATAAATTAGGACATTAAACATTCGAATCCTCAACATATACAAATGAGGTAGCCATTTCCCTTCTTCATCGTCGTTCATTCCCCAAGTGGGCTAACTTGAGTTCAGTTGAGAACCGGCACCACAGCACTAGGAACATTCTCACAAAGTATCAATACCAGGTATTCAACAGCCAGCGCAAAGTTTTAGTTCCGATAATACCAGTTGCCGTTGAAGTGTATGTCCTTCTGGCCTCTCCCCTGAGTGTTGAATATCGGCCGGACCCCTTGGTCACTCCCTTCTGTAGCATCCTCTTTAGAGGTAATGATGTGTTTCTGCTTCCCCACTATTTTTCCGCTTCCGAAGGATATTGACCACATCTAAATTATTATACATCTATTTATCAATAAGTGATGCAGTACTAGCTAATCTGTTTGTCTGTTCATTTCTCTATACACGTGAACGCCTAATTAAACTATTCCCAAAACGCTAAGTACCCGGGATCTCTGAAGCAATGCTGGCACTCCGCACGTACATGCCCATCTCTAACTAATGGGGCCGCATTAGCGCAGTCGATAGGAGGCTCACTTTCAAATCCAGCTGCGACTCGCTGCAGCCCACGATCGGTGTTCGAAACCGGGCCGCTCCCAGGGTTCACCCAGCCTCTAGGAAATGGGTACCAGAGTTGACACTCCGGGTAAACGGAGGAACGTCACTGTAGCTACAGAGTTACGTGCGAACGGCGACACAGGCGGACAATTCTTATCAGCTGTCCATACTGGTGGCAGAGCACTTATGGTTTATAACCGTGTTCAACGACGCTAGTTCACATCTTCCGACTTTACCTTTACCATTTTATCTCTAACTTTCTCAGCGTGCTTTGTGATCTGTTACAATGATTACATGTTTATGTACCAGGCTGTTAGGCCATCGAAAAGCTGCATTGCTTACGCCTCCATTCCCACACTATAATCTGTAGTATAATATGTTGTGCCTTAAAGCACTAAGGGCCTAGATACCGGAGATGCTTGACTTTCTAGAGCAAAGACAATTACATGGTACCCATTTTTATCAGGTGAGCTCCACCTCGGAACCATCACTTTGTCAGTAAAACATTCTTGCCACTTCCAGGTAATCAATAAATATCACTGCCTCAGCGTTGACATGTTTTAAATTCATCATAATCATTGTCCTCTCGTTTCGTTGTCGTAGTCATCATAACCATAGTGCTCATCATCTGCATCTCATCCTAATGATCGTCCTCATCATAATCATCGTCCTAATCATCTTCATCGTCGTCGTCATTATACTCATCGTCCTCATCATCGTCATCATATTTATCGTTATCATCATCATCCTCATCATCGCCGTCGCCTTATCATCATCATCATTATCATTTTCACTCCATGGCAGCATGGGAACTACATCCCATGGCAATACTCATTTTAACCAGCAAGACCTCAAGAAAAGTCTTCCATAGTTAGAGCCAGAGATTTCCCGACCATGAATTTATCGTACTTCTCAGTCTTTCAGCTCTTTATCTCTCAGCAATCATTTCTTTTTTTTTTACTCCTATTCCTTTCCTGAAGTCGAGATAGAAGATCTTATCCCTCGACTACTGAATTTCTTACAAATATTTATTTGAGTCAGTCTAGGGAGTCTGTTACACTCATTGTTTCATCATTTTATTGTTTGGTTTATCGTAGAATTAGGAGCTGTCATAATTCTTTCTAGTATAACAAATACAATCTTGAACGTTGCGCACAATTACACATTATAAATTACGCATTAACTAATATAATTCCTGTACTGTTGTGAAAAGATGCTGGCTGTGTCTACACTTACTCCAATTCCAATTCGTCCAACAAAAATTCCAAGTTTGATCTTTTTTCAGCCGCCCGGAGGCCTGCTATATGAAGGAAGGCTCCTTTGCTGTGTTATGTGATTTCCTTTTATTTGTGATGTGTAGTCACACCTGATATTCCGGTTACTTGCTTCCTCTACACTTAAACATCTAACTAGTATTTATAGGCTGCAGTCAAAGGCGGGATCATTTCTAAACCTGATAACCACAAGTTCAAACAAGCCCTTATCTGTTAAAAACACAGAGGACTTACCTAAAATCCTTATCTTTTATTTTAGCTGACAGAAAACTGATTTCACGAAATATGTCAACATCTAAACTTTGAAATATTTCTCGCTGACTGCTTTATCTTTGTTGACCGTGTGGTTATTGTCCAGTTACTTCTTTTGTTTGGTGATCTGTGATTCTTTTATCTCATGTCAATTTAAAACTAACATTTCTACCAACGCAGAATCATGGCCAGAATGCGAGCACAGCTATCCTTCAACATGAACAGACGTTAAAATGTTTGCTGAGATTATCATTCTATTTGCTTTCATTTGCCTAAAAAGGTGACGGTTTTTGATGTAACCTCGGCGTTGCACTGTTTATCTGCTGCCGTTTGACTTACAGTTTAGTGAGATCCCTCACAATCCCCGACGTACCACGGTTCGAGTCCCTGTGGGCAGTTTGAAAAACCGTTCTCCTGGCTTTTTTGTTACAACAGTATGAGAGTCACACTGTGGAAGAGGTTAGGACTTCATCAAATAATTATCACACGGACAGGCACACATGTCAACTACAGCCAACCTACACTGTGAAGACGACACACAATTAATTAATTAATAGGCTGAACATTTACTCTGGCATGTGTTTTTGGAAAGTTTGAAATGCTACCAGGTTTGCTATGGCAGTTTAGAGAGAACCATGGTGGATGGTGCAATTTCCAAAAAGTGGTCACTTTCGATTTTGAAGTTATCTTGTTTCCTCTTATGTCTTTCCGCTGCCAGGTACTTTTAGACATTTCTTGTCCAATGTGGTTATCTACTTCTGGTCACGGTTTACTGATACGTGCTCCTTATATGTGGACATATATATATCTTGGTTCCGTCGGGATGTCGAGATTGCTGTTTCCATCGATGCATTGCAATTATAATGACGGTGCGTTCGTGTTGGTACCTCTAGAGACTGCTTTTTTTTTTAATGGGGTGTATGCCTCGCCGGCACTGCTGAATGTGCAACTTTTCACACAAGGACGGTGACATGTATGTTTTATGGTTTTTCGCTAACATATGTAAATAGTAGTTTTGGGGTGATCCGTTTACAGTGGAGTATAAGATGCATATAACCAGCTTCTCGACATTTAAGAATATCGATCATTGTTTGTGCTTTTTTCCCCCTTAATACCATGCTGCTGTATAACAAAATATACAGTTAAAATATCGGTGTTTATCTTCACAATTTTATTAAGTGGGCGACTCATTTTCGTTAGGAATTATTCACAAAATACGCATACAAAATAATGAGCAAGGCTGGAACTACCAGAAGATTTCAAATAGAGTGATATAGCAAGCTGTCAGTTTTGATGTTATCCGAATAAATTGTTATACTGCCAGCTAAAAGAACGTTTGTGGGAAATAGGACACGATGTAACTGACAAGTGTGGGCTTGAAATAATTGATGTCAACATTAGACTGCAATAATAAATAACATTATCTGCCAAAAATCACGCACTGCTGACACAGCGTATATATTTTGAAGAATAGAATAATGGAGTTAATCCTTAACAAACGGCTTTGGAATAATGCATACTTTTTATCAGTGCTGCTTCAATCGTTTTGCGACTTAGAGAGAGAGAGAGAGAGAGAGAGAGAGAGAGAGAGAGAGAGAGAGAGAGAGATTGGCTCATTTTTATCTTTCCAGACGATAGTGTTATACTGCGCTATACGGCAATGGCAAATATGACTAGCAAGACCCGCCGGCGTTAAGAAAAGTCTTTCACAATTATAGCATACGATTTCAGGACCCTTGTTAACATTTGTGATTGGTGTGTTTCTTCTCAGACGCTCAGTTCTTATTCTTTTTGCAATCATTTCTTC